TTTTTTTTTGAGTCGAAGTCTCACTCTGTTGCCCAGGCTGGAATGCAGTGGCACGCTCACAGCCACCACAGCCTCAGCCTGCTGGGCTTGGGCAGTCCTTCTACCCCAGCTTTCCAAGTAGCTGGAACTACAGGCACGCGCCACCATGCCCGCCTAATTTTTGGATTTATTGTAGAGACAGGGTCTCGCCAAGTTGCCCAGGTTGGTCTTACCTCCACTTCCCAAAGTGCTGGGATTACAGGTGTGAGCGCCTGGCTGGATTTATAATTATTTTATTTATTTATTTGTTTGTTTATTTATTTATTTATTATTTTTTGAGTTGGAGTCTCACTCTGTCGCCCAGACTGGAGTGCAGTGGCTGCTCCTGTTCACCGCAACCTCGACCTGCTGGGCTCCAGCGATCCTTCCGTCTCAGCCTTCCAAGTAGCTGGAAAGAACTACAGGCGCGCGTTACCACACCCGGCTAATTTTTTTGATTTATTGTAGAGATGAGGTCTCACCTGCCCAGGTGGGTCTCAAACCCGCAGGCTCAGGCAATCCACTCACCTCAGCTGGATTTATATTTAATGGCAGGCAGGTTTGTCTCAGTGACTAGGAGGGGGTTGGCCAGCCCCTTTGTCCTTCCTCCTGAGAGCAGTGGAAACCCTTGTGCCGAGGGTTTGTCATCCTTAGAGTCTAGTTCCATGGCCATGGGAATCAGACATGGGTGGAGCTGGGACCTGTGCCTGAACCCCTGGATCAGATTAGGACTCACGGCCCACCACAGTAAAGCACAGAGTGGGTTGGGTGCGTTGGTGCATGCCTGTAATCCCAGCACTTTGGGAGTCCAAGGCGGGAGAATCGTTTGAGCCCAGGGGTTTGAGACCAGGCTGGGCAACTTGGAGAGACCTCGTCTTTACAAAAAAAATTTAAAAACTAACCAGGTAAGGTAGCTCATGCTTATAGCTCTAGTCACTAGGGAGGCTGAGACAGAAGGATTGCCTGAGCCCACGAGGTCGAGACTGTGATGTGCTGTGATTGTCATGATCATGTCACTGTACTATAGCCTAGGTGACAGAATGAGAGATACCAACTAAAAAAATAAAAATTAAAAAACCCCAAAAAACAAAAAAAAAGGTGAGGAGCAACTTGGGGTCCAGCTGAGTGAAGGAGACATGGGAAGACATGTCTGGGTATCTGGGAAGTAATGTCTGGTTCTCTAAGGACACATCACCCTATGGCCTCGAGGCCAGGCAGAAAGACCTCCTTCCTCCTGATGGGGTCCTGAGTACCCACTGTGTGCCAGGTGCTGCTAGGCACAGGGGTCAGGGAAGCTGGATCCTTTACCCAAGTCCATAGGACCAAGAAGGTGATGGAGCAGGGGTGTGGCCCCATCTGACTCACATTCCGCCCCATTAGTGCATCCCAAAGTTGACAAGGGCTGTCGGTCTGTCCAGTATTAATCCTCCTAGGAACGACCCTTAGCCAAGGAGGGATGAGTTGAGGAAGAACTACTCCAGCTCCCTGGCAGCCTGGATGGGATGCCTCTGAAGGGCATCTCCTGTACGGTCCTCCTGGGGAGTGAGCCCTGGTGGCCACAAGGGCCACCTGCTTGCTGACACACCCTTTCTCTGTTTCCTTCCCAATCCTGTCTCACTTCCTCCACTCCCCCCACTGCCCCGGGGCCTTCTGGGTTCCTCTTATAATTTGTACTGATTCTTGTCTCAGGTTCTGCCTCTGAGGAAGCCCAGTCTAAGATGCAAAGCATGATTTGCACACCCTGAGACATGGAAGTTGGTCCAGGCCGTAATGGGGCGCTTTTAAAAACCGACTGCTTGAATGGGAATTTAAATAAGTGTTCAGGAAGCAGCAGGACTGAGATAGGGCAAAAATCACAATGATGGTCAACAACATCTGAAAATACTGCACTGTCCAGTTCAAGATGAGGCATCGCTTGGTCCTGGCAAGAACGTCTGAATATAGGTACATTCTTATCCCGGCATCTGCTTGGCTATGCTTCCCTTTTTGCCAGGACTGTTAGGAAACTCAGAGAGAAATCTTTTCAGTCTGCATTCTCAGTTCTGAGGGGCGTCCACGTCTGACGTGTGGTTTCTTGTGTTCCAAGTTCATATTTAACGGGTGTGTGTTGTGTTGAGTCATGAAGACTCTGCCTTGGCAGGAGGTTGGAAGTGCCTTATAAACCAGTAGAGGGCATCGCTAAATACAAGAGCTTTGGAAGAGGACAGGCCTGGATTCAAATCCTAGCTCCATGACTTGGGGTCTCTTGAGCAATCACACCGCTTCCACACCTTGGGAGTCCTTGTCTGTGAATGTGGGTGACGGGACTTGCTCCCAGGTGAGGATTGACGCAGTGCGTCGCCAAAGGCGGCAAGTAGAGCCTGGCGAGTCATGAGTGCCCGGTTGGTTGCCGTGATTACCACCTAAGGATGGTCACTCCAGTGAGGCAGGAGGAGCTGACCTGGACAGCACCATGGACCCCCAATGTCAGGGGCGATCCTGAGTCCCACACCCACGTGTGAGCATCAGGAAGGGGAAGGTGATGCTCGCTAAGCTAGTGTGAGGGCAGGGAGCAGATCCGTCTCAGCCAGCTCACGTTCTTAAGCCCTGATGCAGTGCCTGGCACGCACCCAGTATCTGTTGAATGAATGAAATGGGCCAGAGTATGTGGTGCCATTTGTGGGTGCCATGCATTCGGGGTGCCACCGGCCCCTCTCGTACCCCCGGTGTAGGTTTCGGGGCACAAGGGCCCTCTTCCTTAATCCTCACAGCAGCCCAGGAGGGTGCTATCTCCCATTGTGCAGATATGGAGATTGAGACACAGAGACACAAAGCAATTTTTCTCATGTCACTCAGGCAATAAGTGGTGAAGACCCGGAGCCAGGAGGAGTCCCTACCCCCCTGCCTGCCCTGCCAGTACTCTCGACCCCAAAGCTAGTTCTTCCCAGAGAAATAAGCTTTTTCAGTCTTTTTCTCACTGACCACAAAGACTCAGCTCTGTCCTCAGAAGTATTTGGAAAGTTTTATTTAAATGTTTTGTGTTCCCTTTTAACCACCACCAAAAAGAGAAAAAAAAATTTTTCTGCTGTTCCAAACAGGAGAGTTGCTTCAGAGAGAAGCTGGCATGTGTGTTCAGAGCCAGGGGGCGTAAGCCCTGCCAGGCTGCTCTTCCCAGCCCGGGCCACCCTGGGTTGGATGGCCAGGCCTGGGAGCAGGCTTCCTTGGAGTCTGACAGCCTTGAAGTGAGAGGGTGAACAGACCCGGTCCCAAGGAGACACCTGGTCCCCCTGCAGGGAAGGCTGGGCTGGGGACAGGGTCCTGTACACGGTAGGGCCTGGGGGGGGTCCAGAGGGAAGGGGATGGGAGGGGGAGGGTCAGATCTGAAATGTTCCATGGAGGCTTCGGGACCTCTGGGTCTGGAGGAGTATGTTTGCTAGAAAAATAAGATGCTTTGAGAATTTCTGCAGTCTGTGCTCTCCGCCTGCCCGAGAGAAACCTACCCTGTTGGCCAGAGGGCGGCGGGGAGGGGGCGAAGGCCGGGGGCCAGGACTTGGTCTGGTCCCCTGCAGGATTCCAGAGGGGAGCGAGGCGGGTGGCAGACTTTGGTTTCCTGGGTCCCCTTTCTGGCAGCTGCAGAGGCTGAGGACTCCGCCGTGCCGCCCCTTGAGGTGTGGGCTGCCGGGCGGGGGCAGCACCGGGAGCGGGGAGTTGGCATTGGTCGCGGGCTTGCGGGCGCCCAGGCCCTGGGCCCTCAGAACAGCATGCTCATGGGAAGCAGGGCCAGCGGGAGCAGCAGGGGGCCTGGAGCAGGGCCACCCGCCGAGCTGGCAGGGGTGCAGTGGTCGAGGTTGGCCCCGATGCAGGCCGCGTATGCCATCACATGGGGGATATAGTTCTGCTCGTGGACGCCGTGCAGCAGGTGTGCCATGGGGCCCTTGGCGAAGACGGCCACATCCTCCCCGCCGTGGGTCTCGTGACGCAGGGGCACAGCGGACTGCGCCTGGTAGTTGTTGTGAGCTGTGGGCCAGAGGAAACGCCCGCTGAGACCCACCAGGGGCCTGGCCCCTGCACGCGGCCCCTCCGCCCCCTTCCCAGGTGGCTCAAATGCTCCCTCCCGTCTTATAGAAGAGGAGACAGGTTCAGTGTGGCCACAGGACTTGAGCCTGAGCCCAGAGCCTGCATTCTCAACCCCCAACTGAGAAAATTAACCTCATCTGGGTTGCCTGGCTTAGCAGGGAAGGGCTGAGAGGGAGACTCTTACCACTGGCTGCGCCTCTAGGTCCCCAGGGACCACTGCGGGCATCAAGAACAAACGAATAGTCAACAATATGGAACTGGATGAACGGACTGCAAAGGCTGGCATATTAGAATACTATGCAGCCAATAAAAATGACAGTGCAACGCTTCAGGCATCTGCACGGGCCAGGCACTGTGCGAGGCTCGTCAGGCCCGTTTAGCCTTTCAGATGACCTTAGAGGGCAGAACCGTTTATGGAGACCAGAGCTGAGGAAGATGACGGTGCACGCTGAGGCCACGGGGCTGCCAAATCTCAGAAAGCAATCTAAATCGAAGTTGTTCTGACTCCAGTCCTAGATACTCTGAGACCCCGACATTGGCCACAGCTTCCCTTCTGTCCCAAGCCACCCCAAGGGCACCCGCTCCGCCCAGCCCTGGTCCTGTCATCTCACCGTAGTCCACCATGGAGACGTTCTCGCGCTCGCCACCCACCACCTTGTAGCCGGGCCCGTTGCCATACAGGATGGCCGTGAAGGGCTTCTTGTCTGTGTCACTCAGCATGGGGGCCAGACCTGCATGGGGAGGTGGCCGGAGTCACGGGGGAACTACGGGATAGTCCCCGGGCCCCCAAACTGGGCTCCTTGGAGGCTTGGCAGCCCCAGGGTCCTCTCTGAAGGGCCTGCTTCCCTCCATGAAGCCCCCTTCCAAGCCCTATTACTTCAGCCAACAGCTCCCAAGTTTCACCGTGCCCACACTCCCCCATCCGTCCATCTGTCCTTCCACCCACCCTCTCCGCCCCTCACCCACCTCTCATCTCTCCCATTTTCCCCTCTCCTTCTTTCCCACCCATCGTCCATGCAGCCACCCAGCTGCCAGCCATCCGCCCAAACGTGAACTCATCTCACTCCATCCCCTCACCCCGTGCCCACCATCACCTTAACTGTCCCACCTAGAGGACCCCATGCGCTGGGTCTGTGGGTCTTCCCACCTAGATGGGCTCCCAGATGGCCAGACAGGAGGCCCCAGGAGTGCCCAGCGCCCACCCGATGGAGGCCCACCTACCAAAGATAGAGTTGCCACGGGGAGTGTATCCGCCAAAGGTGAAGACATGGGAGTGGTCAGCAGTGACCACAGTCAGGGTGTCTCCCGTAGAGGTCATGGTGCCCGCCTGCTCGATGGCCTGGTCCATCTCCACTGCCTCGTGTAGGGCCTGCTTGGCTTTGCCTTCATGGTGCCCATGGTCGATCCTGCCTCCTTAGGACACCAAGGAACAGCCTCGGGTGAGGGGGGAGGGGAGGAAGAGCTGCACCCCCAGCCCGGTGACACGACTGCCAAACTCACCCTTCTTCCTTTATTTTAATTTAATTTTATTTCTTTTGAGTTGGAGTCTCTCTCTTTCATTCAGGCTGGAGTGCAGTGGCACCCACACTCACAGCCCCCCAGCATTGACCGGCTTCAGCCTTCCAAGTAGCTGGAACTACAGGTGTGTGCTACCGCACCCAGCTAATTTTTTTTTCATTTATTGTAGAGATGAGGTCTCACCACGTGCCCAGGCTGTTCTCAAACCCAAGGGCTCAGGCAATCCCCTCACCTCAGCCTCCCAAAGTGCTGGGATTACAGGCTTGAGCCACTGTGCCCGGCCTCATCCTTCTTTGATAGGGAAGATCAGTGGCCTTCACCAGGTACTCCTACGCGCTTGGACATCTGATACAGCCCTTCCGCCTTTCGGAGGTCCGAGAGGGAGGGCCCAGGCCAATAGTGCGTGTGTGTGAGGGCAAGGCCAAGATGTCACAGCAGACCCGCCAACTGGGAAGCTTGGCTCCTGTTCACACCACCGTGCTCCCAGCACTGTCTCCCCAGCTGCTTGCAGAAGTCGTGGGGGACTTCAGGGAGGCGGGGAGGGGGCATGCAGAGACCCTACGACGTGCCCGGCACAACAAACCAACGTCCCATCTCCCCACACAGCAATCCTGGGCAGGCAGGGGTAAGATCAGCCCATTGACAGATGAAGAGCTGAGGCCTGGAGTGTGGGGGTGATGCACACACAGGGGATCTGCCGAGGCCTGAATCCAGGCACGACTCCCCCTGGAACTCAGCTTTCCCACCTCCATCTTGAACACGTCCCTCCAAGCAGGGAACACAGAGCTTCTCCCTCTCGGAGGAGGGCAAGTCCTCAGTGCTCAGGCAGTGGCCGTGGCAGGTTCCATAAAAGCCCGCGGAAGTCTGACCCCACGCCACCTCCTTCCGGGTGAGCACAGGGCCTGCAACCTCGGAGGACCGCCTCCCACTCTGGCAGGAGGGCGCTGCCTGGCTGGACACCCCCGGCTCCGAGGGTCCCAAGCCCGGGCGCCAGGCAGCCCTCTCTTCCCACCAGCCAGAGCCTTGCCACTGGCCCGGCGGCTGGCAGGGCGGGTCGTCCCTTTGTTGTGGCTTTGGGAGCAGCTGGTCTGGCGGGCCTGCCCTGGCCTTGCTCACAAAGAGGATTGCTCCCAGGGGAGCCCGTGCTCGCCACTGCTGGTTTCTGGCTGCTTCCTCGGCGTCAGAGGCCTATTCAGGGCCAGGCCGAGACCGCCGTGCTGGAGTGGGAACCCCAGGGCTTGGCAAAAAAGCAGACGAGCCAGGCTGATGGGCACTCACCTCTGCAAGGTGGAGGGGTTTGTGCGAGTGTGGGCGGGGCGGTGAGTGTCTGTGTGCAATACGTCCACGTGTGCACATGTGTACACACATGCAGAGCTCAGCGAGGCAGCATGAGGAACCACAGAGGGCGAGGGCTGTTAGAACTCTGGAAGATGGCCAGGCTCAGTAGCTCGGCCTGTAATCCCACATTTTGGGAGGCCGAGGTGAGTGGATTGCCTGAGCCCATGGGTTCGAGACCCGCCTGGGCAACTTGACAAGACCTCATCGCTACAATAAATCAAAAAATTAATCGGGCATGGTGGCGCGCGCCTGTAGTTCCAGCTACTTGGAAGGCTGAGGCGGATGGATTGCCGGAGCCCAGCAGGTCGAGGCTGTAGTGGCTGGAAGTATGCTACTACACTCCAGTTTGGGCGACAGAGTGAGACTCCAACTCAAAAAAAAAAAAAAAAAGAACTCTGGAAGATTCTGGAACCTGTATCACTTCCTCACGCTTTCTATTGTGAGTGCCTCAGCTATTGTGTAAGCACAAAAAGGATCCCAGAGACGCAGAAGGTTTATTTTTTGTCGGGTCCTGTTCCAAGTACTTTATGTCTCTGAACACAATGGAGGCCAATCGCCCTTCCAGGAGCGGGGACTATTTTGGGACTCCCTGAATAGAAATGTGCAGGTAGTGGTCACACCACCAGCGGAGGGCAGCCCCAGGACAAGAACTCAAGAGTGACGCCAGGGCCTCCAGGATGTCACACATAGCATGGGAGAGCTAGGATTTGGCTTTACGAGGGGTGAAGCTGAGGGCTGCCCATCCCTCCAGAGACATGTCTCAGAGAGAGACTCTCAAAAAGAAGAAACCTGCCTCTTCCCCCAGGAAGCCTTCCTGGACTGGTGAGTCTGTTAAGCTGTCTCCATGCTCAAAAAACAGCTTGCTGAGCTGGGAGCTTCTGCCCCACCTGCATCCTCCCAAAGGGATTTCTGCCCTCACCCCAAAACCAGTCAACTCTCCTGGAGAGCAGGACCGTCCCATCCCAATGCCAGGGTCATGTTTCCAGACGCCCCCCTCCCAGGAGGCCTGGGTTCCCTACCTTCCACCAGCAGGAAGAAGCCTTTGGGGTTCTTCTTCAGGATTTGGATGGCCACCTCCACCATCTCAGAGAGCGACGGGTCAGTCACGTTGTTTCTGTTCAGCTCGTACTGCATGTCCCCTGGCTCGAAGAGACCTGAGGACACGCAAGGAGGCCACGCGTGATGAGAGACCGTGACCTTGCTAGGAAGATCCCAAAGAACCCAGGTGTTTTGGGGACACAGACTCCTCACACCCAACTTGGGGGTAGAGTATAGTATAGAGGAAGAACCTTATCTGTGCGGCTCTTGTAGGCCCAAAATTGTGTGGACAATTCCTTTTTTTTTTGAGTTGGAGTCTCACTCTGTCACTCAGACGAGTGCAGTGGCCACTCCCGGCCACCGCAGCCTCGACTTGCTGGGCTTCAGCGATCCTTCTGCCTCAGTCTTCCAAGTAGCTGGAACTACAGGCATATGCTACCACGCCTGGCTAATTTTTTGATTTATTGTAGAGATGAGGTCTCGCCAAGTTGCCCAGACGGGTCTCAAACCCACGGGCTCAGGCAATCCACTCACCTCGGCCTCCCAAAGTGCTGGGATGACAGGCTGAGCCACCGAGCCCGGCCCACAATTCGTTTTACCTTCACAGTCACCATGGTGAGGGGAGATCAACGTGCCCATTTAACAGAGGAGGAGACTGAGGCTCAGAGGTGTTCCCTAATTGCATTTTCAGTTGGGAAGTGATAGATTTGGAACTCAAGTCCATCAGTGTATCTCCAGCCTGTGGGCTCAGGACATAGCACCATGGTCCTAAGGCATGCCTTGTCAACTGTGGCTGGGATGCAGTGGGACAGCTTGGACGTGGGCACATCTACAGGTTGGGTTAGAAGGGCACAGTGGCCAAACAGCAGGTTTGAGGCCACTGTCCCTTCAGCTCACTGGGCTTGGTTATCTCACTTGCCCATGTTACAAGCTTCCAGGTGGGTCCCATGCTGGTGTTTCTGGCCTGGTGACCTTCCGGAACACAAGGCCCTTCTGTGAGCATGTGCACAAACAATCACTCCAATGAACAGAGAGCTCCCTCTGTGCCACACGCTCTACAAGTGCTTTGGAAGCAGGGAGGGGCTGGCCTCCAAGATGGCGCCCGGTAACCCCTGGCCACTGGAATTCACGCCCTTGTGTGGTCCCCCACAGTAACTGGAGCTAGCTTTTGCATCCCACAGAATTCCACTGCAATGACGGTGTGGGATTTCCAAGGCCAGGGCATAAAACGCTGTGGCTTCTGCCATGCATAGTCTTGGGTCTCTGGGTGAAGCCAGCCACCATGTTGTAAGGACACTCAAGTCGTTCTGTGGAGGGATCCCTGTGGCAGAGAACCAAGACCTCCCGCCCACAGCTAGACCAGCTTGCCTACCACACGGGTGAGCCATCATGGACATTCCAGCATCAGTCAAGCCTTCCGATGACCACAGCCTCATGAGAGGCTCAGCTTAGCTACCCCCAAATTGCTGACCCAAAGCAACTATGTACAGTACCACATGTTTACTCTTGGGTTGTTTTATTTTTTCAGTTTTTAAAAATTCTTTTACTCTTGTTTTAGACTGCTACATTTTGCGATAATTTGCGATAACCTGCGCAACGCATGAGTTCATGTAATGCTCATGACACCCCTGAGGCAGGCCCAATCACATTCTCCATTTTACAGAAGAGCCACTATCCCTACTTTATAGAAGAGGAAGCTGAGGCACAGGGGAGCAGCCATTTGCCCAAAGTCACACAGCATGGAGGAGGATTTGAACCCAGCACTCTGCCTCTAAGATTCATAGAAGAACCACCACACCATACGTACACGCACAGCTCTTCACAGCCTGTATATGGCCCCAGGTGTGCGCTGCGTAGCCCACGGGAGCAGGGGGCTATGTGCGTGTGCCCAGAGGGCATACAGCTCTGAGCCCACAATCTCCAGTGACACACCCAGACCCAGAGCCGTACTCCTTGGGGAATGTGGGCAGGAGATTTTGTCCCTACTTGCTGGGCCAACAGCCAGCTGGGAAAGAGGGGGATGTCTGCGTGCTGGTGCCCAGGGCTTCTGTATTCCACCAAGCCTAGAGCTTTCCTGGGCCTTCACCTGCTCCCCATTCCCGGGGTGGGAGATGGAGCCATCCATGAGCACCAGCAAAGGCAGAACGGTGGCTTCTGCCCTAGCCATGCATACAGTAGAGCTGTCTCCAGGTCCCCCGACTCCACAGCCTGGGAGCTGTTTGAGCCCCAGTTTCCAGCCAGGGTCCCCACCTGCCTGGCTGGTGCCGCATCTTAGCTGTGCTGAAGGCTGCAGGTCATGCCCTCTCTGAGCCTCAGTTTCTCCTTGAGCCCCATGGGGTCAATCCCCCTGCATGGCCAGCAGATTTGAGGCCTAATTCCAGGAACCAGAACTCCCTTCCTAGTCCCTCCCAGGTCCTGGAGCCCAAGGGCATAGGCCTCTAAGTGGGACTGGGCTGGTGCCTTGACCTGGGTGCTGGCCTCACACAGCCTCGCCACTAGGCTCCCAGTCATGTGTCCCCGCCACTTACCCAAGAGGTAGTCCACGGTGTGGGGGTCAAGGGCCAGGAGTTCGGTGCGGTTCCAGATGAAGTGAGTGTGCTAGGAGCAAGGGCCTGTGTCAGCACATGCCAGGGCTGGGGTGAGATGGAAGGACTGACCCCAGCTGATCTGAGTCTGGGGCATGTTTCCTTCTGTCATTGAACAATTCCTTCCTGAGGACCCACCATCCCTGACCTCGAGAAGTGACAAATAAACAGATATAATGCAGGATGATGAGAATTCTGATACCAGGGGCACCGTGAACTGAGAGGCAGGATCAAGGAGAGCTTCCTGGTGGAGGTGACCTTCTAATGGGTCCCTGAAGTAGGAATTGATCATCTTGGGGTCAGGGAGGAGGATTCACAGCAGGAGGGATCATGGGACAAAGAAGAGGCAGACAAGGGTCTTGAGAGGCCTTAAGTGCTATTGAAGGGTGCAGGCTTTGTGTTCTGTGGGCCGTGGAGAGCCAGAGAGGAAGCCAAGTCCCAGCTCTGCCTTGGGGACCCCATCTAGGAGGGGAGATAAAGGAGGGGCTGCTTCCTCAAGACATAAAGACCAGGCTCGGCCTGGAGACAGCACCATGTAGGGCCTGAACTGGGAGTCCTGGCATTGCCAGGAACCAGCCATGTGGATTTAGGAGAGCCCGCTGCCCTCTCTGGGTCGTCACATTGGTAGCAGTAGTTTTCAAAGCTCAGAGGAAAACCCTGCTGTGAAAAGGAGGGTGGGGAGGGTAAGCAAGTGGGCCTCGGCCTCACCCCCACTTCATGGAGGTGGCTCTCCTGTGTTCTCTCCCTGCAAGGTAGGTACCATTAGACCCATTTTGCAGATAAGGACAATGAGGCACACCGACTGCATAGCTACTGAGTGAAACTGACTCTAGAATCCACTCTAAGGCATGATTTTCTAGGGGTGCATCGCCCATGTGGGCCCCGACTGTGACACTCTATCTGGCCAAGCTCAGGGCCATGGTCTGAACTCCTGGGTAAGTACCCCGCCTGGGCAAAAAGGACTAAGCTCTGGTCCCATGTGCCATGTAGAGAAACTGAGGCTGAGAGGGGGGTGTCTTGGGCGGGAAAGGCGCTCTGGTCCAGCCTGAGCTGACTCAGAGGGAAGGCAAGGGTTCAGAGCCGCTCGCTTCCACAGCCTCAGGCACCCGTGGGGGCCTTTCCCCAGACCCTGCCCCCACCCCGTTCCTGGCCCAGCCCCATCCCACGAGGCCTCCCCGGGGCCAGTGCTGGAACTCAGAGAAACCCAACCCCAGAGTGACATCAAAGTGGCTGCCAGGCTGCTCCCCACTGTCTTCAGCCCTGACCACAGTCATTTCCAGACCCCAGCTGCCCCTGGCCGGCAGCACAGATTTAAAGGGCCAGGGGCCACTCTAGCCTCCTTCCCCAGCCATCCCCTCCCAGCTGAGGCCAAGGGGCATGCCTGGAGAGGGGCTCCTCACTTCACCCGCGGCTTGCGCACTTGGGCCACCGGTGCCCTCCACCCACCGATCCAGGCTGCCTCCTCCATCCTGCCCCCCTACTTGCCTGGGGCTTCTCAGGCCCTCCCTGTGGTCTCTCTCCTCTGGGGCACCCCCAGGCCCAGGCTTCTCTCATCCAGGCACCTGAGGCTCCCTGTCTCCTTGACCATCTGACTCATCCTGGGTGCCCCACGCCCAGCCAGGGCCCCCCACACCATAGGTACTCAGGGCGACCCTGGCCCAGCCCCCTCCCCATCCCAGCCTCTCCCTGGTGCCCTCCCCTGGGGGAAGAAATTGACCCATTATGCGCTGGTTCACATCTCTTAGACCACTGAGCCCATGGAGGGAAGCAGGATGGTGCCCATTTTATAGAGCAGAACGCAGACTCAGAGAGGGGCCTCCCACTCCAGGCCACCTCTCAACCCCTGAACAGGCTACCTTGTGTCTGGGTTTGAAGCTTTTCCAGATGTCAATGAGGTCCAGGCCATCCAGCCTCGTGCCCCTGGCCTTCTCATCCATTTCATACTCCACATCGGTTTTATTCTTGGGGTACATGTACTTCCGGCCACCTCCCATGATCACCTAGAGGGGACAGGAACCATCTGTTCCACAGGGCTCCAAGATGCCCAGAAGCCCCCAAAGCCCTGGCCTGGACAATGGCCTCCTGGAGTCCCTGGGGACAGCGTGTCCTTCCCAGCTCAGTGTATCTGGGGTTCTGTCCTTTCTGGGCCTCACTTTCCATTTGGGTGATGAAACCATGAGCCTCTCTGGACTATGGTTTAGAGCTTCTGGATGAACTACTGGAGCTACTGATAGCCTACCCTACTTGGCCTTCCAGAAGGCTGACACGTAACTCCCACTTGTAAATAGCTAAGACCATTTATATAGCACTTGCTGGGTGTCAGACACCAAGCTCTGAAGAAACCTTCTTACTCAATTTCATGCCAAGGAACCCTATGTCACTCATTTTCCAAATTTAAAAATGGACACAGCCAGGCTCGGTGGCTCAGCCTGTAATCCCACGCCTTTGGGAGGCTGAGGTGAGTGGATTGCCTGAGCCCACAGGTTCGAGACCCACGTGGGCGGCAAGACCTCATCTCTACAATAAATCAAAAAATCAGCCAGGCGTGGTAGCGCATGCCTGTAATTCCGGCTACTTGGAAGGCTGAGGCGGAAGAATCGCCGGAGCCCAGCAGGTCGAGTGGCCACTGCACTCCAGTCTGGGTGACAAAGTGAGATTCCAACTCAAAAAAATTTTTTTAATTTAAAAAATAAAATAAAATAAATAAAAATGGACACAGAAATGTGTTTTCCCCAAGGTCACACAGTCAGTAAGTGGTAGAGCCAGGATTCGAACCCAGAGTTCCTCTGACTCTGGCACCAGGGCCCTGCAGCATCCGTGGAGCCAAGGGCAGAAACTCCCAGAGTTTCCTCTCCCACGGTGAGAGGCAGAGTGCGTGCAGGGAGAGGCCGCAGCCAGGGAGGTCTTCAGGGCAGCCCAGCTGGGAGCCAGCCTCCTGCAGCCTGGACAAACAGCGGGGCCGGGCCTCCTGGCTGTGTAGTCACCGCCAGGCTAATTTTACCCGCCGTGGCTGGTGCGTGCGGGCAGACGGACGCGGGGCTGTTTGTTTTCCTTGGGAGTCCATGTTTGAAGTCCTGACTATTTTTAAAACAGGGGCCAAGAGCATAACAGCAGCCGCCCGCAGTGACCACCACGTCAGTGTCCTCCTGTCACCGCGGGCGCCAGCCCAGGCCGCTGCCCCTGGTCGACACCTTGGGAGAGCTGGACCTGGCTGAGGCTGGCCCCGGATCTTCCATCCCAGGCCTGGCATCTGTAAGCCCCTGTTCTACCTTTCAGCCTATTTCCCAGCTCAGAACCCAGCTTGTGCGGATGGAGAGGGAGCAGAAGCCCAGGATGGTGGTAGAGGGGATAAGGCACTCCAGAACCAGCCTGGCTCATGGGCACCTGGAAAGGTGTGGGCTTGAGTCAGACAGGAGCTTGAACCCTGACTCTTGCTTTCCGGCCAAAGGCCTGCCACCTAGACTCTCTGAGCTCAGTCTCCTTGCCCATAAAATAGAACTAACATCTACCCCCAAGACTGCACCAGGAGGAATGCAGTCACCCAGTGCAGGCCCCAGTGCCAGAGGCAGGAAGGATTTCCTGCTGCCAGGAACAGAGAACAGTCTTTCCAGAGAGGCAACATCCTTGCTCTCAGCTGCAGCCTGGAGCTCAGGGTGCGGGCGGGCTGTGTGGGGAAGAAGGGGAAGGGGACCCCAGGTCACGGGTCCCAGGCCCCCCCCCCCACTTGATTCCCACAGAACCTGACCCCTTGGCATTTGCCGAGTGGAAGACGAAGCCCCCAATCTTCTTGCCTGGAACCTCACAGTTCCCAGCCCCAGCTGGGACTGCACACGGGCTCATTAAATTCCCAAATAACAGACTTGATGTTTGGCTTTGGGGTTTGGGTTTGTGTCTTTCTTTCTTTCTCTTTTTCTCTCTCTTTTTTTTTTTAAGCAACAGATATTTATTTTCAGGGCGGACACCAGGATTTTTGTTTCATGTGCAGCCTAGGGACTGGGGGGCTTAGGGGCGGTGATGATGGAAGGACAGAGGGGCTGGGAGAGGAAGAGGAGGGTGAGAGGAGGGGGTGGTCCTCATTTGGGGCATCCTTCCTTCTCATTCCCTGGCTCACACCCACCCACCTCACCCCGCCTGAAACATCTCTCCCCTCTGGTTTTCCCTTAAGCTCCTGTCCGCCGCTGCCCGTGCCAACCCCTCTGAGGACAGCCCCTGTGTAATTACACCCTGCGCTTGTACAACAAATGTTCTCACATCCATGACCTCATCACGGCCTCCAGCGGCCCTGGGAGGAGGCAGATGTGGCTCTCTGTTTTTGTCACACAGGTGGGGAAACTGAAGCCCTGAGAAGGGAAGGGACTTGCCCCAGGTCACATGTCAAGGGACGGCGAAGCCAGGGTGGGATGGGTGGCTTTGCCTCTGATTCCTGCTCACAGAGGGTCAACAGCACTTCCTGAAACGGGGTGCTGAACCCACTACTTGGAAAAGGGAAGTGGTGGCTGGCAGAGAGGCCAGGTGGTACCTGGATATTGGGAGTGGAGGCGTTGCCTGGAGGGCAGAGGGCAGGCGAGTTTGCCTGGTGGTGGGAGAAAGAGGTGAGGGTCACTCTGGGCTGGGGGCTCACCTGAGCCTCACCAAGTCCTCGTTCCAGGATCACAGGCCAAAGTCCCCCAACCCCCTCCCCAGCCCCTACAGCAGGTAATAAAAGCCTGAAAAAGAATGAGTCAGAAGTTCTCACTTAAGAATAGAAAAGAGAGATCTGTCTGAGCATCAGATGGACAGCGTCTGCCAACATGACCCACCCGACGTGTCAAAGCATGTTTCAGGGAGAGGACATTTGGCTCACACGTACACATGGCTGCTTCCTGCATCCTCGCTAAGGGTCAGCCTTGTGCTGAACTCTGCAGGGATGGTCTTATTCCGTTCTTTTGATGGGCTTACAAGACAGGTTCAGTTCACAAAGGGGACACGAAAGGGAAGGCTCGGGGAGGGTCAGTGGCTGACCCAAGACCACACAGCTAGCAAAAGGCTGGCAAGGACTGGAAGACAGGAAGTTTACATACGAAGCACGCACTAACCACTGTATACACCAGTTCTTCTCCAGAAATGCTGGTTAAGTGTGGGTCCCCCCACCAAATAGGCCCTCATGGAGGGGTGGGATGGGGGTGGGGCATAGCACCAGGCTCCAACCTATGGAATAATCCCTGGATGCCTGGTTCTTGGGGGTGTGGTGGCGGTCACATGAGGGCTCACCCTGCAGCCTCACCGCAGAGAAATCCTACAGTGCCTGCCTGCCCCGACCGCAAATCCCCTAATGGGCTGGGAGCCCTCCCAGGTGCCGGGGAGCCAGGCCGGCTGCTTGTCCTGGGCCAGCCTAGGCCTGAGGCCTCCTGTCCCCCAGAGGCTCCGCCCCTCCAATCCCTGCCTAGCAGCACTCCCGCACTCACATCGATGTCCCTGATGTTGTGCATGAGCTGGTAGGCGATGTCCTTGCAGCCCTGGCTCAGGGCCTCTGGGGGCATCTCGTTGTCCGAGTACCAGTCCCGGTCGGCCGAGTGGGCGTAGGCGGCGCTGGGGGTGGCATGGTTCACTCTCGTGGTGGTCACAATGCCCACGGATTTCCCTGGGGGTGGAAGGTGGGGGTTGGCTTTGACTGCAGCTGTGGGGTGTCCAGCTGCCTTCTCCACCTCACTCTCTCCCTCCTCTCGCTAAAGACTGGCTTCCTGTCACTTCCACTGATTGCCTGGATCTCAGTCTCCCTATCTGTACCAAGAGGGAGATGGGGACACTGTCTCTGTGCCCCTCTTCCCACACCCTGAGGGCCAGTGAGCTATGAGCACCTGGGCTGAAATCTCCTTATCAATGAGCCCACAGGCCCCCAAGGGATCTCAGGTGGAGTGGGGTTCCCTCACCTGTGTCCCTTGACCCCAATGTTCCTGGAGGGGTGAGCCAGGTCTCCAGATTCCCGGAAAGAAAGGGAGAAGGAGCAGGCATTTACCGAACCCCCCAGGGCTGGCTCGGGTAGGACTTCATCCTCCTCACACCAGACCTAGGAGGCGGCTTCGGTTTCACACCCATTTTATAGTCCAAGGAACAGACTCAGGGAAATGAACTGGGACCAGAACCCTTGACCCACTAGCCTTCCCTGTCACAGAAGGAACCCTGTGACTATCTTGACACCCAGAGCGTCAGAGCCGGGAGCCCCAGAGATCATTTTTCTCTACCCTCTCCCCATAGGACAGTTGGAAAGACTGAGGCCCAGACAGGTCGCAGAGCCGGGCCCCGTCCCCTGCTGCTGCTCACCAGCATCCTTGGCCCAGCGCAGGATGGAGGTGACCTCATTGCCCTGGGTGGTGTTGCACCGGGAGCGCTCGGTGGCCGCGCTCACCCCCACGGTGCCTTCGTTGGCCTTGACCCCACACAGGTAGGCAGTGGCGGTGCCTGCGCTGTCGGGGACCTGCGCGTTGGTGTTGTATGTCTGTAGGTGGGTGGGAGAGGAGGGTCAGGGGATGGTCAGGCCTTGGCCTCACTGCCACCCACCTGCCTCCACTCACGCCACAGGACTTGGGCACGAGGGACACAGAGAGGCCCTGGCAGCCTTGCCGGAGCCCCGCGACTCACTGGGGTCCCCCGGAGTCACAGGATCACTTTGCTGCCTGCATCCTGTCACCATTCAGGAAGCAGGTGGGGTCAGCAGAGGCCTCTTTGGGTCTGCAGGAGCCAGCAAGGGGTAGGGGACCAGGGGGGTCCTGGAGAAAGAGGGGGGCTTCTTGAAGGAGTGGGGGGAAAGAGAGGGGGAGGGGAACAAAGAAGAGGAAGGTGGGGCTGGGAGGCTGGCGCTGCCTTCTCTCCCTGTGCCACCATCCGCTCAGACGTCTAGTGGAGACCATGAGAGAGTTACCTGTCTTCCCTCCCCATTAGCCTGAGAGCGGCTGGAAGGCACAGACAGCCCCTGCTGGTCCTTGGGAAGTGAGCCCTGGCCTGAGAAAGTGTCTGGTGGAGGTCATCACACCACCACCACCACCACCACCACTGACAGCAACCGCTGGCACACACCACGCTGGACATCTCACAGCAGAACAGGCATACCTCACTGTGGTGTGCTTTTGCTTCACCGTGCTTCACAGGTACTGTGTTTTTCACCAAGTGAAGGTCTGTGGCAACCCCATGTCAAGCAGGTCTATCAGTCCCATTTTTCCAACAGTGAAAGTTTGCTTTATTAGCATTTTATCAATAAAGTCTTTTTAGTTAAGGTATGGCACTAATGATGCTATTGCACATGTCACAGTATGGTGGAAATATAACTTTTATATGTACTGGGAGGCCAAAAAACTCATGTGCTGCGCCTCCGTGTTCACTTTATTGCAGTGGCCTGGGAAAAATCCGGAAGGATCTCTGCGGTCTGCCTATAATCAAATTAGCTTCATGAACTGCCTTGGGAGAGAATGAAGGAACTAGAACTGCATGGAAAAGAAAACACAGTTGGCCCTCCACCACTGTGGATTCTGCATTCATGGATTCAACCAACCACAGTTCAGAAATATTTGGGAAAAAAACTGCATCTGTACTGAACATGCACAGACTTATCATGTCATTACTCCAAAACAATTCAGTATAATTACTTACATTGCATTTATAATGTATTAGGTATTATAAGTGATCTAGAGACAATTTAAAGTTTATAGGAGGGTATGTATAGATTATATGCAAATATTCTGCCATTTTATATAAAGGACTTGAGCATTTGTGGATTTTGGTATCAGCAGGGGGTCCTGCAACCTGTCCCCCATGGATACTGAGGGGCAACTGTACATTGTGTGATTCTGCTTATATAAAATAACAAAACCATAGCTGGACACAATGGCTCATGCCTGTAATTCCAGGGCTTTGGCAGGTCAAGGCAGGAGGATCATTTAAGGCCAAGAGTCCAAGACTAGCCAGGGAAACATGGCGAGATCTCCCTCTTTACAAAAAATTTAAAAATTATCCAGGCACGGTGGCATGTACCTATAGTACCAGTTACTCAGGAGACTGAGGCAGGAGGAACCACTGAGCCCAGGAGTTCAATGCTGCAGCGAGCTATGATTACACCACTGCACTCCAGCCTGGGTGACACAGTGAGACTATCTCTAAGAAAAATAAACTAAGTAAACTACAAAAGCAGTCACAACCAATCCATGGTGCTAGAAGTCAGGACGGTGGGAAGGGGGCTCTGGGTGGACAGTGGGGAGGGGGTTCTGGGCTAGAGTGGGGCTCGAGGGGACCTCTGGCTGCTGTTCAGCTGTTTGACCAGAGTGGTAGTTAAGCAGATGTGGCAGTTTGTGAAAAGTTAAGCTGTACACCTGCGCCCTTTTCCTTTGTATGTTATACTCTAGTAAAGGGTTTTGTTTGTTTTTTGTTTTTTGCTTTTTTGTTTTTTGGGGTTTTTTTGAGTTAGAGTCTCACTCTGTCACCCAGACTGGAGTGCAGTGGCCGCCCCCGGCCACCACAACCTCGACCTGCCGGGCTCCGTGATCCTTCCACCTCAGCCTTCCAAGTAGCTGGAACTACAGGTGCGCGCTACCACGCCCAGCTAATTTTTTGATTTATTGTAGAGATGAGGTCTCACCAAGTTGCCCAGGCGGGTCTCGAACCTGCGGGCTCAGCCTCCCAAAGGCGCGGGATTACAGGCTGAGCCACTTTGCTCGGCTTGTTTTTTTGTTTTAAATCAGTGAGTTAAAAGTCTCAAAACAAGTCTTGGGAAGGAGCTGCTGCCCTCCTCACTTGGGAGTGGGGCCACGGGGACCAGGAGGTCTGATGGCCCCACAAGGCCCACTGCAGGCTTCCAAGGGGCTGGTGGGCCCCATGCCCCTGCTCCTTCCTCCATGCTGCCACACTGAGAGGTAGGTGGCTTGGTCCAGGCGGGCTGGGGCTGGGGCTCACCTTGGAGAGGGCCACGAAGGGGAACTTGTCCATCTCCAGCCTGGTCTCCTCCCCGGGGTTGTTGTGGAGCTGACCCTTGAGGATGCGGGCGGCTGTCACTGTGGAGACGCCCATCCCTGCGGTGGGGAGTGGGGGCCTCAGTTTTGGGCTCCCTGCCTCTTCAGCCAGCCTTCTCGGGTCCCCAGAGCTCTCTAGTTTGCCGCCAAGGCAGACTGGGGCAGTGGTACCAGGCATGGCTCTGCAAATGTGACAGGTGGCTCCTCCCTCCCTTCCCTCCCAGGCCCTTGGAGATTGCCTGGCAAAGCCCACCTGTTGAGGCCACAGCCTGGGCCCCTCATCCCCACAGAGCCCCAGTCATTCTACATGGCTCCTTTCACCCAGCCTGGCTCCTGGGCTCCTGCCCAGGTGCCCATCCGGCCCCTCCCTCGGACCCCCAGGCCTCACCATCTCCCAGGAACATGATGACATTCTTAGCCACATTGGTGTTGAGCTTCTGAAGTCCCAGGGCGTGTTTCAGGGTCTGCTGAGCTTGGTCTCGCCAATACTTGGGATCTTTCTCTTTCTCTGTACAGGCAGAGGAGGGAGAGCTATTGGACAGGGCTGAGGACAGCTTCTCATCCCGGGACATATGGATATACCACATCTCACTGCTGAGGCAGGAACACCTGAACTTGGAGGAGGGAGAAATTGTCACCCACCTCAGACAATACATCTTGTGGCTTATAAACATGGGCCAGTCAAATCCTCCGAACAAGCCTTCAGAACCTGGGGTCTTCTCATGTCTCCAAATGAAGAAACCAAGGCTCAGAGACAACAAGCAACTCACCCCAGGCCACATGGCACAGGCAGACCCTGACGGGGCTGGGCCCTGCTCCAAAGCCCATGCTCTTTCCTTCTACCCGGTACAGAGATGATCTGCTAAGGCAGCAAATGAACTGTGCCAGCACAATTAGGAGAGTAATGTTTAACCTATTCTCCAGAACACACTACTTGCAATGGCAGGAGTCCCTGGCGGGTCCGGCCATCAGTTATAAACTCTGCTTGGTTTATTCATTAAAGTAGATTCAGCAGGAGCATGACTTGGTGGCAGGGCTGACAGCTGTGCTGCAAAGCGAAACTTGCCTTTTGCTTCATGTATCACATTTTAAGTAACCAGGTGATCTCATTCTTAGGATCAATTATTGAGCAGAACGTTCGGCATCTCTGAACCCCAGTGTTGCTCTTCTGTTAACAACACCCTTTTGGACAGTGCTTCACAGTTCTGAGATGAAATGAGAATGAGGAACACTCCTCTCATCTTTCCTTTCTTCTCTCTCTCTCTCTCACACACACATACACACACACACACACACACACACACACACACACACACACACACA